AATCAAGAGTAGATTACGATGCGCTACATTATTTTTCAAAAACCATAAATTCCTTTGAAAAATACGAATTTTTATAAGAAATGGCGCGTCAAAAGTTTGGAAACTTCTCAATTCCACAGCGAATTCGGCAAAATAGCTCTCGAATCTACATGATAAATTAACTATTCGATGAGTAGCTGTGAATTTCTATGTCAGCGTCGTTTTTGTTGACACGGAGTTGACTATAAAATAATTTTAGGACTTTTAAGTCGAACCCTGCACACTGTGAACTAAATCGCATTGTTTGGTGAGATTCCTAACTGGAATGTGGGTTGAGCGACATGCCAGTTCTTCCGTGGGATGTAGAACTCAATTGGACTTTAGATCTCGACTTGGTCGATTCATACAGATTCTTTTTCTGGGTTTAGGAAGGCGGCAGTGAGGAGGTAGGCCTGCATTGGGTCATTTCCACGATAGAAAACTTATCTTTTTCGGCCAGTTCTGACTAGAGAAGCATTGTAATCTATAGACTGTTCTTGTACTTAGCCCAACCCACATTTTGCTTGGATACATAGAACTGGGGAATCGCCGAATGGCCCGACATAACTCCATCCAGCTGGCAATACTTCCACTGTTTCTGAATGTTGGGATCTTATACTGTGAATGAGGTTTCCATTTAACGAAGATAGAAATCCTGCTCGTCGCTGAGGACAAAGTTTCACCTCTTCGCTTAGGTCATGTTAGCCGTTAGTGTGCGGAAGCCAGTTGGGCCATCCTGCTATTGAAGCCCAACAATGGCTTCTTGTTGGGATATCATCCGTGATATTCACCAGGTCGTGGCCGATGTTGGCTGTGCTTGGACTTTCATACGATTAGGTTCAAACCAGAAAAAATCGTCTCTTAGTTGGGCATATCGGGGGTACGGGGCGTGCCAACCACCCTTCGAAGTATTTGAGAAGGGCCAATTTTCTTGTGAATACTTTTTTGTGAATGATCATTCGTCTTATGCTTACTCGGCTCCAAAAACACTAAAAACATTCGATAATATTGCTTTCGTAGAGACTGAACTACTAAGAAACAATTTCTATTTCGTATTCCGGATTGTAGGGTTTAAAAAGGATCACCCATGGAAAAACTGCTTCTTTGCATATGAATTCATTTTCATTACTCAATGGTTGAACTAAAATTAACAGAAACAAGTAAACATTGAAGAGTAGGAATCATAATGATGAGGGAAACAAAAAGTTTCCAAAACTTTTGACGCGCCATTACTTGAAAAAAATCTTATTTCTCAAATATGATTATAGATTTTTGGAAATTTCTTCCCGTCGTATTCTGAACTTGATTTTGTATGGAATATCTAAATTTGGGACAATTTCGTTGTGTATCGGCCGCGCTAGATCAAAAAATAAAAAAGTTTCCAAACTTTTGACCGCTACTGTATATGAGCTTTACGTCCTTGATTGAGCGATGGGCGTGCAGGAATGTGCTGCATTTGGCTTACAAATCGGTAAAGTTCGTACTGTGGTTGTGCTACCTAAAGGGTGTACTACATATTATAGCTCTTCCATTGAAACCTAGAAGTTTTTGACTCGTTCACTAGAACACCCATTTCCTACACTTTTGAGCTGTTTGCACTGCAAGGCGCTTGCTCTTCGAGTACTACTTTTCAAACCTATCAGAACACTTCTTGTTCTGCAATCGCCATTTTGTCACCAGGTTTGAACAGCTCGTTATTCGCGAAGGATTACCTCGACTGGCGTGACTTTGTTATCGATTTTCACCGCTTTTTAACTTTAATCCACTGTGTAGCATTCCTCTATATAGGAAGCTTAGGCTTACCGCGACAATTAATTTTCAAGTAATGGCACACTTGATTCCCTGAGAAACTACTTATGTACTCTTAGGGAAGTGCGAAACTGTTTCACGTAGATGGCCGATGAAATGGAGTAACAACGTGAATGGTCCAAATCTGGTCTCAATAAATGGGAGGTATTTTCGAACGGGTCGACTCTATGCAGGGATCAGGGATTGGCGGGATCAGTTGGGTACCCGACAGGAAGCCCGTCGCGCGGCAAGAAGGCAGAGTCAGCGGACGAGTCGCAGCGCGTGTGTGCGATGTAGGACGTACAATGGTTACATTCTATTTAACTTGACGCAAAATCACTACAATACCACCACAATACCTGCCACTAGTACGCTGACCCTGCCTTCTTGCTGCGCGACGACCCCCTGTCAGGTACCCGTGTCAGTTTATACGAACGAGGCGCCCTGGGGATCATATCATCCGTTTGCTTACAGTTATTTTACCAGGCAGTGGCAACCATAATTCCTCTCGTCGAGCAAACAAGTTACGTAGTACTGTGACATAAGGTAACCCAGGCAATATCCATCTGACCGGTTGCCCTGTGTTCCGAAGATTCAAATCTGGTGTTCTGTATGACTTTGGAAAAAGTCAAGCCGAACTCTAACCGATAGTTCACTGATAGCCCTTCCAGAGCGCAGGTCCTCATTCAAAATTGCCCCAATTTCGCAATTTATGCTGCCTTTTTTCTCTGCTTCTGTGCGATGACGAAGTAGAGCATTACAGATGACTACTGCAAACTTGCAACGACAGTGCTCTATGCACTACAAATTCAGCTACGAAGTTCGCCCACCTCCGCTGATTCGACGATACGAAAGAACTCGATCGATGACCTGCTCGTTCGAGGAAATTGCTGAATCCGAAGAAGAAGACACTCAGGTAAAATTTAAGACATTAGAGATTCTGGTCAAGAACATTCGGTGTGATCGCACTCCTTTCGCGATTTTATCATTTTTCGTTTTTCAAAGGAAAAGGAAAATATCGGTCTGTAGCTGGAATGAAGATATCATTCCATACTCCGTCACCAAATTCGAAGCAAGACTTGTTAAGAAATGTTGTATAACCTAAAGAGGCACCTGAATTTCATTTCAATATAATTGGTATTCCAAAAAATCCAAAAATCCAAAGAATCAATTCGAAAATAAGTCCTTTGAAATCTTCTGCTTTATTTCTGTGTGTAGAAATTGTCGGGCCTGAAATACATTGATTATATCTGGCATAATTAGTTACTGATCTATCAAACTCACATAAATACCCACATGTGCTCGCCTCTCTGGTTAAAAGTTAATTTTTCAGAAATGACCATAATTCCGGGCGGAAGTGGTGTAGTGGCAAGTGGCACGCTTACCACGCGAGCGGTCCGGGGATCAAATCCTGGGTCGTGAGTCGCCCGGGCCAACCAAGCCTTCCATCCCTCCGGGGTCGGTTAATTGGTACCAGACTTGTCTGGGAGGATAAAAACACTGACATCGGCTGGCCCCCGCAAGTCATTGTATAGGCCACATCGCATTCAAACGCCACTACGAATGTACAAATGGAAGTAGAATGCGTGCCGCATCCCAAAAGGGATTGATCAACGGCAAATGCTTTATCCTTTATCCTTTACGCATACTTTCTCTCGTATGGTGGGAGGTGACTAATTCCATACCGCTATGGGACAAGACGACTGAAGGAACGTCACTCCCACCTCTCTTTTACGATTCGAGATTCAGGGTCCATGCATGTAATTACAAAATTACTACATAGAACTGCAAAAAAATTACTCGAACTCCGAACACCAATCGACTCAATGACAGCCTTTGTTTTTGTAGCACAGACCTCCGCTCGGAGTCCTCCTGATTGTGCTTGCCGCGTCGAGGCTCTGACCCTTTTCCCGACTTCTAATTCAGAGCGATGCTGAAAAGAGCGTTACAGGCACAGCCAACTGTTGCGTTGCACCAAATTCGATTTTTTCACAAAGGTTTTTGACGCGGCCCTCTCACCATCTTTTACCGCCATCCTCACCACTACATATAATTGTTACACCACATCTCCCTTCTCCATTTTCCCTCCATGCTGTGACGTGGCTTAGGGAAAGGGGAGAATAGCGAATATGGGTGATAACGCGTCAAATGCTCTATTTGCGCTCATTTTGTGCACTATCTTGAGAATTTCGCTAACTTCTCGGAAATCACCAGGAACGACCACACCAGCAACCTCTCGACATTCGCTACAATGTCCCTTTTTGAAAATTTCAACTTTTTGAATTCCTACAATCACAACACGAAAAGAAGAGACATGCCACCCCCGTTGGTCTTTGTTCAACGTGCATACGATTGACACTGATCCTAGGCTACGACCGGAATTTAGCAACTATATACGCTGCTCTCTGCTTAAAGCGAGAGATTACGATAGGATTCTGTTGTGTTCATAGTGGAAGTGAAGATGCTGAATAATGCCCTAGTAGCGAAAAAAGCAAAGAAATCCGTCAAAAACGCGCAAAATGGGACCACTTCCTCTGCCCGTTGACCTCCGATAATGGACGAGTTGGCAACCAACTAAGAGGTCGTCGGCACTCGTTAAACCATAGCTGCCATCATACCACCAGAGATCATACCTTGATTGATATAGCATTCCATGAGAAAAAATTGGATACGCGCTCGAAGTGGCATACCTTATCAGAATGATAATCGAACAGCGATCTGCTGAGGGGCGGAGCACAGGCGGAGGCGGAGCTCAGAAAGGATTGGCAGCCCCAGGGCGCTGCAACGAGCGCACCTTTAGTCACAAAAAGGCCACATCTCGATTCCTTTGGGCTCTAGCTACTGCTTGAAGTGCTGCTCGTTCTTCCATGCTGCACAGAAATTTTATCGTAATTTCTCGCTTTAAAGCGCGATGAAATCAGGATTAGATTGATGGGGTGATTCTATACAAATGTGAAAGTAGGGATGGGAGGTGGACCGCCAGACGAGAAAAAAGGAGAGAAAATTCCTGCGCAAAGATACTCAAGAAATACGAGCATTTTGTTCATGCTGTGGAGAAAAACAAAAGACAGTCAGGGAGGTGAGAGATAATGTGAGCGCGGAGTGGTAGAGAAGTCCGAGAAGAGAGAGCATAGCAGATCAACGTGGCGACGCAGACAAGATATCGAACGGTGGGCGGACCATGTTAAGTTTGGTGGAGTCTGTTAGAAGTCCATGGCGCCTAGGGTCCTGGTGACGCGTTTCGATGTAGAAAGGTGGCGCTAACTTTGCACTTGCGTGCCCAGCACTTCTAGCCATGGTAAGGGCTTCTTAGGTGGGTCTGAGCTCGAACTTAACCTTTAACAAAGTCAACTACAGAGTGAGATATCTGAGTAAAATCACAGAGTGGCGAGAAAACCATAGCCTGCTTTTCCTGCATGTCAAAAGGACAGGCCTCAGATAATGTTCAAGGAAATTGCTGTTGTATTGATGTGAAGAGATTGTTTGGAAAACACCGCATATTGGATTGTCTATTTCTCTGGCCTACCTTTTATACTCAGATTCCCCTCTGGTGGGTAAAAAATCGGTTCAAAGTAAAGCACACTTCGAAGATGCAATCCAATGTAGAAACACACACCTGATCTCTGATTTTCGTACACTCCTTTCCTTCAGGATGCGGGAAAGTTCCAGTCTTGTTTCTCTTTCTGTTTCTGTCCCAACAAATCGTACGTATTTATTGGATCTCGCGCCAACTTCCTTTAACGTTTCTAATTATATTCACGTGTGGTTATGAAAAGTTCATCACATGTAGTAACTTATAACTGGATCAGGGCTAGGGCTCTTTCCAACGAA